TTTGCACTTATTCTTCTAGAGTTTTATTAACAACTGCTGATATCAGCAACTACATAGCTATGGAGACATAAATTTACATCTATAGGCATTATGAATACATCTGTGATATTTAATATTTAATATTATTATAAAAAATTATGAAATACGTCCCAAAGAATAAAACTTAATGATTATCAAAATTTAAATTATAGTAATCCATAACTGATTTCAGCCATTCTCTATAGTTTACATAAGTTGATGTCTATTTGTAAGTTTAAACTTAGTCTACTGGTTATGTTAAAATAGCCAAGAACAAATTTCAAATATTCTTGTCACACACACACACACACACATACACACAAAGGATTGGAGGCGATATATACGTCAATTAGTTCGATTCCATTATTTCATATTGCATTCATAAATCATAATGTAGTTTTGTACCCTATGTATACAACCAAAATTTCTCAATTTTCAATGAAATTTTAACCACGTATTTTTAAATCTATCATAGGTCATGAATTTTTCTCCCTGTCCAGGTGTGATTAGGTTGTCCTGAGAAACTCATTCACCTCCTGCCTCCTGAAGGCTTCAGCCAGTTGGCAGAAGCAGGGAAATTGTGTGTGTCCCTAGGACTCGAAGCTTCTCTCTTTGAACTAGATAAACACGGAAACACTTAATTCCATTCTGCTTTGCTTCAGTTGTTGAAAACAACATACATGAGACCCTTCCTGGGCTTCAAGGCTTATATTCAGGAGTTCGCATGTATCACATATTTTCAATTTTTTTCTGAGATGGAATGCCGATGTCTCCTTATTACACATTATCCTTTCATCTCTTAGAATTATTTTGTCTGGAACCCATGCCCGGGCAGCCCCACAGATTGGAGCAGAGCCAGGGCTGAGGCTGGTGTGCAGGGGCTTCAGCAGGTGCCTCAGAGGGAGCCGGAGAGGCCGGGTCACAGTGGCCGCTGGAGCAGTGCTGGAGATGGGAGAACAGCCCAACTTCACCCGAGCCCATGTCTTCCAGAAAGATCCCAACATCAAGAACTGGATCATGCGAGCTCAGCAGTCACCGTTTCCTCAGGAACCAATGTCAGATCGTCAGCGTGGGCGGGGCCAAGGCGACCATCAACAGCACAATCGCACCAAATACGCCCTTCCCCAAAACGCCACAGAAGTCTGGGCAGGGCCGACAGCGGAGCCCACACGGTGTTTGGTTTGGGGTTTTCCTCTGAGCAGCAGCTGACAACGTTTGCAGAGAAATTCCAGGAGCTGGAGGAAGCTGCGGAGATGCCCAAAGACAAGGCCCGGGAGAAAACCGAGACCTGGAGTCACGGTTCCCAGTGATCTGGGCGTGAAGCCCCATCTGCGGCTGCGGCATCCAGTGTCGAGGGCGGCGATGAAAAGGCCTCTCAGCCGCGGCAGCTGACACGCACCGGAAGTCTGAGAAGGACGCGCTGAGATCGCCTTGACGCAGAGCGCGGCCACCGCGCAGGAGCGGAAGCTGCCGCTGCAGCCCCTGAGGAGAGCCACGCCCCGCGGACCAGGGCGCTGCACGAGGCGGCGGCCAGCGGAAGAGGCTGGGACACCAACAGGGAGGAGCAGAACACGCAGCTCAAGAGGAGGATGGAGGAGCTGGAGGCGGAGCTCCGAGAACAGGAGACGGAGCTGAAAGGTCCCTGAAAACAAAGTGAAATCCCACCTCAGCTCCTGTCACAGCGCGGCTGTGTCTCTGAGAAGCTGGAGGAGGCTGAGAGAATGAAAACCCGGAAGACAGAGGTCGCTCCCTAAAGACACTGAGGACAGCAAGCGCCCACAGCGCCACCTGGAGGTGGAGGCGAACAGCTTCCCAGAACTCCTGGACCGGAAGTTTGATGACCCACCAGATTTCCGCCCAGACCTCTGGATCCCCAGCACTGATAACTAGAGCTGGCGAGGCCTGGGCCCGCCCTCGAGTCCCACACGTGTGTGCGAGACCAGACAGCACTAGGTCGTTCTCCTGTGTGTTCTTATGTAAATGGAAGATTCTGACTCAGGAATCCAAAACTAGTCAGGACAGGGATATGTATATCTTTCATAAAGGCTGTTTGCAACCATGCAAACTGAAAAAAAAGGTGTTTTTTTTTTCCCCTCAAGTTGTAGCCTTGCTCTATTGCCCAGGCTGGAGTGCAGTGGCACAATCTTGGTTCACTGCAATCTCTACCTCCTGGGTTCAGGCAGTTCTCCTGCCTCAGCCTCCCAAGTAGCTCTGATTAATCCAAATATTGATATTCTTTAGAGGAGGCCATTGGGCTCCTTTTATTAAATAGCATTCAGAATATTTGAATGTCCATCAGGCTCCTGCCCCATTGAAGCACAGAGACAACGATATGCCTCTCTGTCAACATTGAGAAGCTTTAAAACAACTATTTTGTGGAGACTTATCGAGAGTTGGAAACCAAGTTTCTGGTGGGTCCATTTTCTGGCCTGGGAATCACCTGCATTAACGATATGGCCTCCTGCCCCCCAATTTTTATGGTTGCAACAATGGTTCTAAGTAGATGATTCTGGGCTGGGAACAGCTCACAGTGAGGGTGCCTAGCACAATGCCTGGTACAAAGTGGGTGCATAATAAATTGTTTTTCAGTTTTCAAAATAGAATTACTTTTTCCAAAGCCCCACTCAAAACCAGGGCATTATTACAGGTGTAAAAGTTGGACCAACATTGGAAATACATTCAGTTTAGTTCATGTGTTCTCGAATATGTTTTTTCTTTTAAAGTTGTTCTCAGTTGCAATATCACACAAAATATTAGTAATTTACACTAATGACATAGGTTAAAATATTGTATAAATAAGATGGTGACATTTGATTTAAAGAAATACACGTTCAACATGTCTTGACAATTTTTTCCTTCTCTGTGAAATGTATGCTTATTAAGTTTCAGATGTTACCATTTTTTTTTGATTTCTGGGATTTAATTTTAGTAGGCATACCTGAATGCATTTTATTTATATATGTAATAGTGTTTGTAGTTTTAATTTTACTATCTCTGAATTTTTAACTATAATTCTGCATTTTTTTGTTTTTATGAGATTAGATTTCCATGTAAGAAAAAATGCATAGATTTGAAATGTGTAACTGGAGAGTTTCTGTCAAATGTGAGTATTCTTGTTCCCAAAACCTAAGGTAGCCTGAAACGCAAGTCCATTCTTCCAGCTCGGGTCTTTCTCTGTGCCTGCAGTCAACACCTATATTGGGGAAATGTTTTGACTTCTGATACTATACACATATGTTTTTCTCTGCTTTGAACTTTATATAAATGTAATCAAACATTATAGACCTATTTTTGAGGTTAATTCATGTTATTTAATATATAAAATTAGATCAACATATTGTCATTTATTCAATTAATGGACTGATTCTGATATGAAACCTCAATGTTTTCATGTACATATGGAAAGAGAGGGAGAGAGAGAAGAAGAGAGATTTTACATCTGAGTGAGTCCATTAAGTAAATAAATTATTTTCCTGTTAATGGATTTTAAATTTCTTTCCAGTTTATGAGTATTATAAGCAAAGCTGTTAGAAATGTCTTAGTGTATGTTTTCATATGTTGTCTCATTTTTATTGAGAAGATATGAAGTATGTGTTGCTTTATTCTAAGAGTAAATTCGATTTTTTTAGTTTTTGAGGTAAAATTGAAATATTTTAATAATATATATGTTTAAGGTGCCCCACTTGATATTTTGAACATGTATTAGTCAATTCTCACACTGCTATAAAGAAATGCCTGAGACTGAGTAATCTGAGGGGGAAAAAGATGTTTAATTGGCTCCCGTTTCTGCAGACTGTAGAAGTGTAGTGGCTTGTCCTTCTGGGGAGATTCAGGAAAGCTAGATTCGTGGCAGAAGACAAAGGGGAGCAGGCACATCACTTAGCCCGAGCAGGAACCACAGGAAAGGGGGCGGTGTCTACACACTATTGGACAATCAGATCTTGTGAGAACTCACAAACCCTGAGAACAGCACCAGGATCTGGTTCCAAACCATTCATGAAATAACCACCCCATGGCCCAGTCATCTCCCAGCAGGTCTGACCTTCACAATTGAGGATGATGTTGCAACATGGGATTTGGGACAGGACACAGATCCAAATCGTACCAGACACACATCGTGAAAGGCTCATCATGGTCAAGGTAATTTGTGTATCCCTCTTCTTGCAGAGCTACCATTTATTCTGAGTGCGCTGCATGTGTGTGTGTCACATGAGGACACCTAAGAGCTCCCTATTTAGCAAAAATCACGTTCACGATACAGTATTAAATACAGGAACATCGCTGTACATTAGATCTCCAGAGGTCATTCCACCTGCACAACTAAAATTCTGTGGCATTTGTCCAACATCACCCTTTTCCCTCTCCTCACAGTGCTGGGACCCACTGTTCTACTCTCTGCTTTAAGAGCATGGAGATTTTAGATCCCGCATGTAAATGAGATCGTGAAGCATTTGTGTTTCTCATCTGACTTATTCCAGTTAGAGTCATGTCCTCCAGGCACATCTGTGTTGTTGCCAATGTCAGAATTTCCATCTTTTCAAAGCCAAATAAAATTCAGCTATATATTTATATTACAAACCATCTGTGCTTTTGCTGATTATTTTTCACCTGTACCATGGAAATAACATTAATGCCACATACCATGTTTTCTCTACATATGTAAAAATAAAAGATGATTTGTGCTAACTTAAAATATATGCAGTTTATACAGATCTATTGTACCACAAGACAACTCTTTTAAAATAGAAATTACAAAATTATAACTTTCATAGGTTTAAGAGTTTATCACAGAACAAATTTACAATAAGAAACCACAATTTCCCAATACTTTCAATGTCACAAATCTTCCCAAGGACACTGTCCAGTGCTCTGAGCCCCAATCTCCCCTCATGCCTGTCACCACAGATCTTGCTATATAGCAGGCGACATGCAAATACAGCCCTCCCTCTGCAGCCCAGCCCTGACCCTGCAGCTCTGAGAGAGGAGCCCAGCCCTGGGATGTTCAGGTGTTTGCATTTGGTAATCACAACTGAACACTGAGACTGAACTCACCATGGAGTTTGCGCTGAGCTGGGTTTTCCTTCTAGCTATTTTGAAAGGTAATTCATGGAGAAATAGAAAAATGACTGTGAATGGACACTACTGAGATAAACAGTAAATCTGTGTAACAGTTTCTGATCATGGTGTCTTTTTTTGTGCAGGTGTCCAGTGTGAGGTGCAGCTGGTGGAGTCTGGGGGAGGCTTGGTTCAGCCTGGGGGGTCTTTGAGACTCTCCTGTGCAGCCTCTGGATTCACCTTCAGTAGCTATGCCATGGGCTGGGTCCGTCAGGCTCCAGGAAAGGGGCTGGAGTGGGTCTCAACTATTAGTACTGGTGGTAGCACGTACTACGCAGACTCCGTGAAGGGCCGATTCACCATCTCCAGAGACAACGCCAAGAGCAGATGAACAGCCTGAGAGCTGAGGACACGGCCGTGTATTACTGTGCGAGAGACACAGTGAGGGGAGGTCAGTGTGAGCCCGGACACAAACCTCCTGCAGGAACGCTGGTGGGAAATGAGCAGCAGGGGGCGCTCAGGAGCCACTGATCAGAGTCAACCCCAGAGGCAGGTGCAGATGGAGGCTGATTTCCTGTCAGGATGTGGGACTTTGTCTTTTTACAGTTTCTTCAGTGAACTTCTCTAAGTTCAGAATTCTGTGCTTACCAGTGTCATCTCTGCATATTTTTTAAATAATTATTTTAATATGAGAAGCTGTTCTCAGATGCACAAAATGCAGATTGATGCTTTCAGAGATGGAAAGTCCTCCACCAGAGTCACCACGATCAGAGTCCTGAGGTAGCTCAGGGCTTCCTGGGGAGTCTTCTCCAATCAGAGTCAGGACAGAAACTTCAGAAAGATTCTCTGACAAGAACAGTCTTTAGGAGGAGAGAGGCTGGGCCAGGGTCAGCGTCATGTAGAACCTCGCAGGTTTCACCTCCGAACCTTCTGACAGTAAAGTATACAAATCACAATCGGCAATGATCTGGCGATGCTTTTCCCTGCCGTCTGTTTTTCCTCTTTCTTTTTAGTTGTTGTTCTTCTTTATCATTGGCTTTCCCTGCTTCCTTCAAAGTAAAATGTGCTTTCTATGGACTAAATTCCAGGGCTCATGCTCTATTTCCTGGAGCTCAGGTGAGTCTCTTGCTGTGGCTCCTGCAGCCACATGTGGAAGCCTGATGGGACTTTAGTCATCCTCATTTCTCAGGACCCTGCACTGAGTTGTGTTAAGACTCATCTGGGAGTCCACATGGCCGGTGGGAACTGCAGGGGATAAGCTTGCTCGGTCAACATGAGATGTGGATGTGGAATTGATCCTGTGCTGGGCCAACTGTCACTGAGTCACCTTCTTCAGCAGTAGCGTCATGAAGTGGGTGTCATCAGAATTAAAATGGAGCCACCAGTGAATGAAGCTGGAGAAGGCCATGAGGGAGGGTTCACACCCTCATCCCTGATAACAAGGACTTCTGTAAATAGACTGCAAAACCACAACCCAGCACAAAGGCCACGACAGCTATAAAGTACTTTCTTCTCCAAGTACATCTGCCCAGCAACTGCCTGTCCAACCTCACACTGACGTCACCCTTGTTGTTCGTCCTTCTAGCCCAGGATAATTGTCTCAAGGCTGCTGATGTAACCCTCCTCATTTTTCCTTCAAAGCCCTGGTCTTGCTTTCCCTGAGTGCACCATGCAGGTTACCATTGTGAGGCCATCCTCAAATAAATATTATTTTTTTGTCTTTTTTTCTGTCTGCTTTTTAGGTTTGACAAACTACTGATGGACGTGCCACTTTTCTGTGAGACATAGAGGATGACAGTGTGAGGGGATGGCAAGGGAAGTACAATGTCCATGAGACAAGTCATCAGTAAGTGACATCGCAGAGACAGCTGAAGTGACAATCACCATGGAATGTCACCTACTCCAGTTCTGCTCTGATGGAATCAGGCCCACCAAGGTTATCAATGACAATCTTTCTAATGTAGAGTCAGGTGATGACACTTTTTTTTTTGAGATGGAGTTTTGCTGTTGTTACCCAGGCTGGAGTGCAATGGTGCAATCTCGGCTCACCGCAACCTCCACCTCCTGGGTTCAGGCAATTCTCCTGCCTCAGCCTCCTGAGAAGCTGGGATTACAGGCACGCGCCACCATGCCCAGCTAATTTCTGTATTTTTAGTAGAGACGGAGGAGTTTCACTTTGTTGACCAGGATGGTCTCAATCTCTTGACCTTGTGATCCACCCACCTCGGCCTCCCAAAGTGCTGGGATTACAGGCGTGAGCCACGGCGCCCGGCCTAGTTGATAACACTTTTAATAACATTTATAAAGTATATTTACAGCACCACTTAGGTTAGTGTTGGATTAAAGTCTAGCCTAGCCAAATGAACCCTAAAATGTATACCTGCCCAGGGAGAGGAGATTTAACATGAGATCTGTGTTCTGATAATTTTGTGAGGTGTAAAACTGAACATCTTACAATTAGGCTATGATCATTTTGCTAGCGAGTTTTAAAATGTACACGTATAGTTTGGATGTTCATACTTTTTCAGACGCATGGCTTACAACTGCATTCTCCCTTCTGGAGGTTGGAATGTTTTCCCTGCTCTGCAGGATCTATTCTGATGTTGTCCCAGTTGTTCAATTTTGCTTTTGTTGTCTGTACTTTTAAGGTAAAATTCAGAAAACCATTTCTATTTGGGGGTGGCTGGAGAGAAAATTTTACAATTGCAGGCCATACGTTTAACACTTTAACTCATGTAGAATTGATTTTTGTATCAATTCTAAGCCAAAATTCTCAATTCCTTCCATGTGTAAATCCAGCTTTTCTTATACCCTCTTTGGGAGAGACTATGATATATATTCTTGGTTTCCACCTTGAAAATTAATTTGACATTAATATATCAGCTTCTTTCTGACCTCTCTACATATATTTATGCCAATAACATCTTGTTTTTATTACTCAATTTTGTAACTAATTTTGAAATTTAGAAGTAAGATGTCTCCAAGTTTATTGCTGCCATGTTACGAATATTGGAACAAAATATTCTACTACTTTCACTAGTAAGTAGGTTAATAGCTATGGTTTTGCATAATGACTTTTATTATTTACAGGTTATTTTCTTGTATGACGACTTTGTGTAGAGTTTTTATCATGAAACTTTGCATTTGGAAATGTAATTTTTGGTTCTGGTGAGAGGTTAATGGAAATTTTTCTTTTAATCTTTTAATTCGGCATACTAAATTTATTGATTTGAGGATGTTGAATTATTGCTTCATCTAAAAAGTAAATTTGAATTGGTAATGGTGTGCGATTATTTTTAAGTCTTGTGGAAGATGGTCAATTATTATGGTGGTTTATTTCTGTATTTAGGAATATTGGTCTGTACCTAATTTTACCAAAGACCATGTATATTTTTCTGTCTCCTCCATAGGAAAATTTGAGATCTTCCCTCCTTTATGGAGCTGCTTCACCATTCTGGACACTGAGGAACAGACAGAGGGTGTGGCAGGCCATAAACATCAATGGCGCCAGTGTCTTTGAGGATGGAAACACTAACCCTAACCAGCCAAAGCAGGGACCCGCACGGGGCAGAGCTTTCGTGTGTAACCCTAACCATGTGTCCATTTTGCCAAATGCTATCTATATAGTATATGTTATATATAACGTATGTATAATATATATAAGCTGTATGATTTCTACAAGTGTCTGTTGGATATCTATATGTAAATATTGCAAGATAAACCTCAGTAGACATCATAACATTAGTTTGAGTATCTGTGTTGAAGACGGTCACCTTCATACAAGGTGTAACAACTGAGAACAGATGTATCTTTGGAAACCACAGTGAAAACTTTTTTTAAAATTGTACTTTAGGTTCTGGGGTACATGTGCAGATTATGCAGGATTGTTGCATAGGTATAATCATGGAAAGGTGGTTTGCTGCCTTTGTTCCCCCATCACCTATACCTGACATTTCTCCCCATTTTATCCCTTCCACTATGCCTCCCCTAGCCCTGCAGAAGAGTCCCTGGTGTGTGATGCTCCCCTCTCTGTGTCCACATTCTCATCGTTCAACACCCCCATGAGTGAGAACATGTGGGTTTGATTTTATGTTCTTGTGTCAGTTTGCTGAGAATGATGGTTTCTAGTTTCACACATTTCCCTATAAAGGACAAGAACTCATTATTTGTTATGGCTGCATAGTGTTCCGTGGTGTATATGTGTCACATTTTCCCTATCCAGTCTATCATCAATAAGCATTTGAGTTGGTTCCAGGTCTTTGCTATTGTAAACAGTGCCACAATAAACATACATGTGTAGAATGATTTATAATCCTTTGGATATATACGCAGTAATGGGATTGCTGGGTCAAATGGAATTTCTATTTCTAGATCCTTGAGGAATTGCCACACTGTCTTCCACAATGGTTGAACTAATTTACACTCCCACCAACAGTGTCAAAGTGCTCCTATTTCTCCACATCCTCTCCAGCATCTGTTGACTCCAGAGTTTTTAATGATCGTCATTCTAACTGGTGTGAGATGGTATCTCAATGTGGTTTTGATTTGCATTTCTCTAATGACCAGTGATGCTCAGCATTTTTTCATATGTTCATTGGCTTCATACACGTCTTCTTTTGAAAAGTGTCTGTTTATATCCTTTGCCCACTTTTGGATGGGTTTGATTGTTTCTTTCACAGTAAAATTTCTTAAACACATTTTAAGCTGTTTGACATCAGACAGCAAAGGCAGTGACTAATGAGAGGAAAAATGATTGAAAGGAGCCCTTTGATGAATGCCCACTCAGGGAGTCTCCAGGCCACAGGGTTTGAGTAGAACAAGGTAGATTTGGAGTTGAGGAAAGGGAGCTGGAAACCCAGAGAGGCCCAGATGTGTGAAGACCAGAGAACATGGTGGGTGGCAGAACACTGTTCAGAGAGAGAGCCCCACAGATGGCAGGAGGAGACCCAGGCTTGGTAGAGTGCAGATCAGTGAGTGGGAGACAGGGCAGGTTGGGCATGAGGACACACCCTAATAGAGGGAGCTCTCTTCAAAATCTGAAACTATCAAAATGTACACAAATCATTTGCCTAAAGGGTATAAAATACACAGGAAGGTACCATAATAAAGCCAAGTAAAGGACAGGTGGATTCACTACCTTAAACCTGGAGAAGTGTATTTATAACCACGTGATGACACCAAAGAGGGAGGACAGATTAATTCCACCACAGCAATCGGCTTAAGAGAGAAACATTCAGAATGTGGAGAAGCTTCAAACACAAATAGGAACAGAGCAGAGTGCTGGCATGAGGACCCCCAACCTTTCCATCGAAACGATCACATCTGGATTAAAAAATGAAAATCTCAACCATTAAAAATCAATGTGAATTATTCTAAGAAAATACAGCAAATAAATATTATTGATTGATAAAATGTGCTGCTATAGACTGAA